ACTACCACACTGATGGAGCATTCATGAGCCAGCACTATGCTAAGCACTGAATCTTCACCATAAACCTATGATGCAGTGATATTATACCCACGGACAGACAGGGAATAGGAGGCACAGAAAGGTAATGCAAGCTTCCCAAGGACACACTGCTACTCAGTGGCAGTGCCTGGATTCAAAACAGGCAGCTGGGATCCTGCCTGCCTGTACTCTGCTTTCTCTTACCTTCTCAAAGCCTAGCTGTCTGCATAATGAGAAAAGAAAAATTCTGAGATGTCCTAAATTAAATTACAGCAGGAGGATGGGAGGAAGAGTCAAGAGAAGTCAATTAACAGAGCCACAGGCTTAAACCAACAAAGGACGTATGGTGAAGCTTCGAATCAACTTCCAGGCAGCTATTTCAGCTCTTGTCTAAAACAGTGGACCACCAGATGCCATCACATCTTGCTTAGGCATGAACTTTCCATACTGCTGCCCAGGGTGCCACCCCAGGACCCAAAGGAAGCATCAAATACTTCTTCCTTAGGGACTAGTCAGCTATCCCAGAAATTTCTGTTTCACCTTCTCCCTCCTACCCCCCAATCTATACTTAATGTAAATTATTTCAAAACAACCTACACCTTTTGTCCCCAAACTCACTGATGAAAGAGGCCCGTTACCTGAGGATGGTGGACATGTGTGTCTTCTCCATCTAGTCCTACTACTGGTAGTGTAGGCTGCATGCCCGAAGACCTGGTTCTTTTTCTGGCTCAATAAACCCTTTCTTTCAGAAAAACTTTCAGCCTTGAAGGTTTTTATTTAAAAATATGTAAAACAGGGCTTGTAACAGAGCATCATCCAACTATAAGTGCCTGTTTAAGGTATATTTCAATTATTTTTCTTCCAACAACATTTTAGCTACTATGCTGTTAAAATGTTTGATGCTCATTTGCTTTTGTATTTCATAGCTTAAATGATTGCCAAACTTCAAAATTATGGGTTCCAATTAGAACAGTAAGAAGCAGGGTATGTTTTGAAAATGCCCAACTCCTGCCCGGCTGGTGTGGCTCAGTGATTGACCCATGAACCAAGAGGTCACCAGTTCGATTCCCAGTCAGGGCACATGCCCAGGTTGTGGGCCAAATCCCCAGTGTGGGGCATGCAGGAGGCAGCCAATCGATGTTTTCTCTCATTGATGTTTCTCTCTCTCTCCCTCTCCCTTCCTCTCTCTCTAAAAAATAAAATAAAGTAAAATAAAATTCAATAAAGAAAAATTTAAAAATCAGTAGCTATCAAATAATATTTCACTAGGAATGGTGCTAAAAAAAAAAGGAAAAGAAAATTCCCAACTCCAGACTCCAAAGCAGTTTATGGGATAAATTGCAAAACTCTACACTTTGTCCACCGTCACTGACCTTCCCTCTCAAATGAAAGAATTAATAATGTTTTAACAAAATTAAACTCCATTCTGACCAGTTATTCCTGCACGTAAACACCAAGCAGTTTTCTAAAAACCCTGGGCCTGACACCCCGAGGAACCATAAAGATAAGGGGTTAGGGATGGCCTTGGGAAACTTGAAGGGACCACAAAGGAGATTAATGATGGCCCAGACTTCTGCTGGAGCAGACTCCTTACCTCTGAGACAACTTGTATCACTCTTTCTCCCTTCCTCTTTCTAAAATCAATTTAAAACAAACAAATAAAAAAAAAACAAACATGTCCACGGGTGATGATTTTTAAAAAATAATAATAATAAGCCCAACAAGAGTCTTAGAAATAGGGAATTCTCAGTTCTCACTGATAAATGTGATTCGCTTCCACATTATAAGGAAAAAGTGTCCAAAAAAGACAGCACTTATCAAAATACCTTGGGTTTTTCCTAGGCCCCAAAGGTTTTATTTAATTACCTACACTAGCTTGAATGAATTCACCGTATTCTGAGGACTCACTATGTATGTGTGTTTTGCCAAGACCCATTGAGAAGGTCACAAAAGAAGAGACAAGATAAAAAAGACTGAAGACAGCAAGGAACTGAAGAGGAAGTATAAGGAATGGCTAAAAGTCATCCCCCTAAAAATCAAAAGCCATTTTCTTTTTTAATATGTTTTTATTGATTTTTTTAAGAGAGAGAGGAAGGGAGAGAAAGAGAGAAACACCAATGTGAGAGAGAAACATTGATTGGCTGCCTCCTGCATGGTCCCTACTAGGGATCGAGCCTGCAACCTGGGCATATGCCCTGACCAGAATTGAACTGGGACTTCTCAATCCACTGAGCAACACCTGTTGAGAAAAAGCCATTTTCTAGCTTGTTTCCAAGAAACACCTGTACTTCCAACTGACTCCAAGGGTTAGAATGTAACAGAGTGAAAAATGCCTAGTCTCTTTGATTCTGTCTTAATTCTAGCCTGCATTTTTCCTGTGGCCTCCAGGCAAATAGCTTCTGCTATAGATATGCTAATCATTAGAGCAATTCTGCTTGAAACTTGAGGTTTTTTTTTTTTAAATAGCCAGCTCCCCTTCCCCAAGGTACCTCTCCTGAACAGATGGGGAAATATGTTCAAATTAATGATTGTTTATCAAAAATTTTCAGGAGCCTCAAGACCAGACTCAGATTAGCAGGGGTCAGTGCACTGGGAACAGAGAGATTTAGAGATTACTCACTCTTCCTTGGATCCCACTTGTACCCAGAGGTCTAAGGTCATCAGTCACCTCTTGCCCCTCCCATTCTCCTTTCCCTTGACATAAAAGAAACCTGAATTCTGGATTCTCAAAAGATGGATTTGAGGAACCTCTTAAAGCCCCCATCTTCTCAATTGGGCCTTCTCAATCAATAAATAAATCCTTCCTTACTCCAAACTCTAACATTTTGAATACTAGCCTTTTGAAGCACTGAGCACATGAACTTTGGACCAGTAACAAAAGGAGCTGAGATGAAATGGTGCAGAAATGGCATTCCTCAAACCCAGTGGGCTTTGCTTGAGGGTTACTAAAATAATGGGGAAGATGATGCTAATAACCAGAGACTCCAGATAAGAAGGCCTTGTGATTTCTCCCAAACAGTTTTGTTTCAACCATGGTCAAGAGCATGCTGATGATTCTGATACTTATTCTTTTCCTTTCATCAGGAAAAGGTTTGCATTCTCAGCAACCAGGTTTTCCCAGCAGAGTGACCCAACAACTCTGTGGTGGGAAAGGGGTTTGGTTAGTACGTTGATAACCCACACCAAGCTTGGTTGAAAAAGAACTTTTAAACACAAACACACACAACACACACACACACACACACACATCCTTTTTTTTCCTTTCCTTTTTTAGCAAACATTCAAATCACTAAGATCACTAGACATGCATTTCTCTAAAGGGTTTTTTCTTTATCCAGCTTTGCCACCTGTTACCTCCATGATATTGAACAAGTCACTTTACCTCTCTGGGCCTAGATTTGCTCAGCTGAACAATTACAAGATAGTACCGATGTCCCTTGTGGTACCCAAAATTCCACAACTTCCCCAACAGATACAACCCCATCTACAATTCACTCTGGGTTGATGTTATTGGAAAGAAAAACACAAGCCCACCCTTCTATGTCCACAAACCAAGATCCAAACTATCCAAAAATAAATTCATTTCATAGCAAAACTGTAATAAAGTGAAATGCCCCATCTCTCTGACTCCATCTTGCTCGGGCCTGCACTATTCCATGGCCTTCAGGCTAATAGTTCCCACTTTAAACATGCTAATCATTCAAGGAATTCTGCTTGGGGCTTGATTTTTCACAAAAGCAGCCCCTCACATTTTCCTTTCCCTTGGTGTAAGAGAAGCCTGAACTCTGTGCTTTCTTAAGGTGGATTTGAAGAGCCACCAAGGTGCCCATCTTCTCAGTTTGGCGCCTTCTCTATCAAAAACCCTTTGTACTCCAGCCTCTGACATTTTCAGTTTCGGCATTTTCGAAGGTTTGGGCATGTGGCCTTTGGACAGTAACAAAATCAAATCTGACAAACTCATTGGTAGCAAAGCCTACCCTGATCTAATGTGAGGCTATTTACAATCTCTGTTCCACTGAGCTTACTGCATAAGCATTTAATATATTTGCTTAGACCCTCAGAGTTTAGGCCACAGCCCCAAGGGTTTCAGATGGTTACAACTATGAGGTGGGTACTATTATTTTAGAGAACAGGAAACAGAGAAGGTTCAGGAGGGTATATCAATTGCCCAAGGTCACACCATTAAAAGCTAGTAAAAGCCTGGACGAAAACCCTGGCAGATCACATTTCAGGATGGTGTTCACAACCAGATCTACTAGCTCCTGCAAAATGACCTCCTTTATTAAGTTAACTAGTTAAACAGTTTAAATCAATTAACTACACTAACAAAAAAAGAGAACGTAAAGCAATTCTACAAAACAAACTTATCCCCAAATAATTTCTATTTTTGGCCATAGAGATAACCAAAGTCATAGAGCTTTTAAGATCATCCCCCTAGTGCCAGTTATTAAGACAGCATTTTCCCAGACAAATTTAAAAAGCTTAAAATGTATGAAGAGAACAAATGAGCTTATACAAAAACTGGAAAACAGTGGAAGTCAGTGTATAAATCAAGTGCTAAATTTTGTAGTGAAACTTCAGGCAGCTGCCAACTTCCAAACGCCTCCCAGATAAACAGCTGCTATGGCCCCACCCTCTCCCACTCGCAGCTGTGACTGGGTAGGGAGAGACATCCAGATAGGACCTGCCAGCTCAGAGTCTATGCACCAGTGACACAAAATCCCTCCCAATGCAGGTAGCCAGTTACCTTTATTTTGTCAAAGTCCTTGAGATGCTACCATGATCCAGGAGCACAGAACTCTAATTCTGGGTAGCAAAGACCACTTGGGGAACAGATGGAAGCCTAGACAGCATTCTCAGCAAAACCTGCATAAATCAACAATGCCTGGCCGTGAACCCATGGCTGACAGATGCATTTGGCTAAGAGGCGTTTGGAAGTTGGTCCCTTGAAAACTGCGGCTGTCCAAGGTTTCTGCTAATACCTGTGTAAGTTCAGCTGGACCTTTGGGGGTGCCAAAATGGAGAGCTCAGGGCAGCAGGAGCACCCTAGAATCTGGAGACAGGAATTAAGGGTGAGAGGGGAAAACTGGGAGGGAGCAAATAGCCAAAGATTTCAAAATATTGCCTGTGCCCAAGACAGTTCCCTCCCTTCTCCCACACCTAGCTTAATGAACATTCAAACACCTTTTTTTGAACCAATGTAACCAATAAGTAAACCTTGATCGGAGCCTGGTTCAACATTTTAAACAGCTACAAAGGATATTTTGAGGACAATTGAGGAAACTAGGGTAGGTAGCATTAGAGTCTTATTTATTTTCTTAGGTATAATAATGGTATTGTGGTTATGCAGAGGAAGTCAATCCTCTGAGATGCACAATAGAGGGATTTAAGGGTGACATGTCTACAACTTGATTTTAACTAGTTCAGCAAAAAAAGTAGAGAGACAGAAAGACAGGTAGGGTGAAAAAAGTGAATGTGGCAAAATGTTGAATCTAAGTGGTTAACATACAAGTATCCCTTTTACTATTCTTTCAACTTTTCTGTAATAAAAGTTCACAAAGTCTTATTTTATCATTCTTTTTAAATACCTTTTGTAGTATTTAAATCATTTTAGTGTGAAAATGCACTTTAATTTCCAATTCAATTACTCAATAAGGCATGTTTGAAGCACAACCCATACTTAAGCTGTGGGTTTTTTTCTCTATGTTCCACTGGAGTTGAGAAGGGCAGTAACTAGTGTAATCCAGGGCGGGAAAGGAACTTCATATTAGATTTCAAAAGAAAAACTGAATTTGGGTGGATAAAAAGGAAACAAACACTCTTCACAAATAGGAAATTGGAGAACAACTGGAACCACTCCTGAACCCCAGATAGCTACCGAACAAAGGACTAAAACTAGGGTGATGTCAACATATAAAGAAACAAAGATACTTAAAAATAGCCCAGCCCATGTGGCTCAGTTGGTTGAGCATCGTCCTGTGCACCAAGAGGTCACCAATTCAATTCCCAGTCAGGGCACTTGCCCGGGTTGCAGACTCTATACCCAGCAGGAGGCAGCTGACAGATGTTTCTCTCTCCCTCTCTTTCTCCCTCTCTCTGAAATCAATAAAAACATATTTTTTAAAAAGATACTTAAAAATAATGATGGAAACTACAAATATTTACCATTATAGGTTTTTATGTAAACCAGAGTGGGGGAAACTAACTTTGCAGAGTCGGAGAAAGCCTCTAGCATTCTCCACAATTGTCTCAGAATCACCAACTGAAGTGATTTCTTAAGGCTCGGAACTCCCTGACCAAACAGAATTCCCTCAAGGGCACCAAGACACAGTTGCACAAAGACAGCAGCTACAGCCCCACAGCTGCTCCTAGGGAGAGGACTGATTAACTTTAGCATCGCTGTGCTGTAAGAAGCCAAGAATCTCAACTTCTGGACTCTTCCTGAACCTTCCAGAGTACCTCAAACAAAGGTTTCCATTCAGAAGACAACAGAAGGCTCATCTGACCTGGCCTCACCCCAGACCAGAGCAAGGTCAGCTCACCAGCACCTGCAGTGGCACACAGGCCAGGACACCATGACTGCACCTCTAAGGCAGAGAAAGCTGAGGGCCTTCAGCAGGCCCCGTGCGGGGAGACACAGCACGGGGTCCTCGGAGAGGACCTGTAAGCCAGAGGCTGCAGGGACCAGGAGAGCCTGGGACCTCCCTGAATCTCCCCTTCCTCTTTTCCTTTTTCCTGCCCCTTCCCCTGACTCCCCTCCTTCTCTTGTTGTTTTCAGTTGTCCATGTGAGGATTTTTTAAAAATCTTTACTTAGTGATGGCACTGTCTCCAGGGGACAGGCTGCTGGCTGGAGGACAGAAGTGGAGTGCGACTCTGTGGACCTTTCTGTGCCTTGCAGTTTGTAAGTTGTGGCCATTCAAGAAAGCAATGGGATTCTTTTAAAAGTCATTTGTTTGAAGTGACCTTAAAGCAACAGAACTTCAGAAATCTAATGTTCATTTCAGAGTCTTTTCAAGCCCTGGCTGGTTTGGCTCAGCAGTTAGAGCGTCGACCTGCGAAACAAAGGGTTGAGGGTTCGATTCCCATCAAGGGCATGTACCTGGGTTGCAGGTTCAATCCCTGGCCCTGGTCAGGGTCCTGCAGGAGGCAAACAATCCATGTGTCTTTAGCACATAGATGTTTCTCTCTCTCTCCCTCCCTCTCTTCCACTCTCTCTAAAACTCAATGGAAAAATATCCTTCGGTGAGGATTAACAACAACAACAAAAAAGGTGGTGTGTTATGAAGAATGAGTTGCTACATTAAAATAATTGTAAGGCCGCATTTACTGAGTGTTTGCAGCGTGGCAGGCACTGCTCCAGATGCTTCATGTGCAAGCTCATTTCCTTTCCACGACATCGGTAAGGCAGGTCCTCTCATTAACTCCGTCTGCAGATGAGGAAAATGAGGCACACAGGGTTCAGTAACAAGCCCTAATGTGTGTGCGAGGTGGGACAGGATGTAACCTAGGCAATGTGACCCCAGGCCTTGTACTCTCAGCCAAGTTATCTAACAGTGTCTGTAACAGCAGAGGTAGCGTTCAGTTGTATCCAGTGAGTGACACATGCCTTACAGTAAACAGGCAAGTTAAACCATCACCAACTGACCACAAGGCTGGGCTGGAGCCCAGATCCACATCCCCCACTCTGATGCCTTTAAACCCTAAAAAGCTGCCTCTCTTCATATGACCCTATTATGCATGATAAACACTGGAATCTGCATGAATTTTTAATGTAAAAAATCATCTTCATGAAAATTTATTAAAGTCAGCTATAACAAGATGAACTTTGTATTGACTTCATTTAAAAAAACAGCCCTGGCTGGTTTGGCTCAGCAGCTGGAGCATCAGCCTGCAGTCCAGAGAGACCTGGATTCGGTTCCCACTAAGGGCATGTACCTCGGTTGCAGTTTGTCCCTGGCCCTGGTTGGGTCATGCGGGAGGCAGCCACTCGATCTTTCACGTCGATGTTTCTCTCTCTCTCTCTCCCTTCCTCTCTCTCCCTCACACTCTATCTGAACAAAAAATGGAAAAATGTCCTCAGGTGAGGATAAAGAAAAAAAAAAACCTCAGCAGCATAAAATTTCTCATTATTAATTTGACTGCGTAAAGCAAAAGCTCACTCTGAAGTATAACTCTATTTTACCCATCCAGAACTATTGTGAAGGTAAAAGGAAGATATTTTTCTATCTATGTCTTGCCCACATACATATGTTTTCATGTTATTAGCCACTAACTATTGTACTTGGAAGCAATTCAATAATTGCCACAAACATACTTTATACTAACCATGTTGATGACATGATATCTGAAAATCTTTTAGAAGGAAAGAAGGGAGGAAGGAAGGAGAAAGGAAAGGGAGGGGAAGGGGGAAGAATATCTTCAATCACACACTTTAGCAAGAGTCACCATATAAGATATGAAAGTTCCCACCCAAATACCACTTGATACTTTCACATTCCTTGTTTTTTCTGAAACCTCTAATCCCAAGGAAGAAGCCAAGAGGGTGGATGAAATATCATTTTGCAAATAAGTCGGTAGCCTAACATGACATCGCTGAGTAGATGCAGAGAAAGGGGCCAGGCAGAACCAAAACGCAGAGCCACTGCCACCACCACCCTGCCCATCTCACCACAGCACACATCGCTCAGCGTTCGGTGGCAACCAAACGGGACACAGAATTCACAGGAAAATCTCCATTTATGTCACACTTGCCTGTTTCCCCAAGTAGAGGGGAGGATGTCCCGTCTTTATACCTCCAATCCCTATCAGTTCCTGGAACACAGTGGGAGCACCTTAAACCTCTGCTACACTGACCCTGTGAAAGCAGATGCCAACCTTCGGGAAGGACCGCCAGTAACTGATCAGATGTCCACTCTCATTGTACTTGGTAAAGAGTTTTTAATATACTATCTGGTAAGACCGAATGTTTAATGTACTTATACTCCCATATACCAAATGCCAACAGTTTTTAAAAGCATAAATTCTGCCTGCCCGGTGTGGCTCAGTGGTTTAGCATCGACCCATGCACCAAGAGGCTGCTGGTTTGATTCCCGGTCAGGGCACATGCCCAGGTTGTGGGCCCCATCCCCTCTGAGGGGCATGCAGGAGGCAGCCAATCGATGTTCTCTCTCATCGATGTCTCTCTCTCTCTCTCCCTCTCTCCCCCCCTCCCTTCCTCTCTCTCTAAAATCAATAAAGGAAAAAAAAATTTTTTTTAAGTTTAAAAACATAAATTCAAACCTCAGAGGAAGGGAGAGGGAGATAAGAGGTAAACCAAAGAACTTATATGCATATATGCATAACCAATGGCCGAACATAGACAACAGTACTGTGAAGGCTGGGGGGACAGGAGCGAGGAGGTGGGTGCCAATGGCGGGAAAAGAAGATATCTATAACAAAAATAAATTAATTAATTAATAACAATTTTTTTAGAAACATAAGTTTTTTCAAAGCTGGATGACTGATACACCCCAAAGCTTTACACACTTGTTGGGTAAGCCCTTTCCGAAAGGCATACATATCCCAGCAAGCCTGCGCTCATCGACATCCACAGAAGGTTCCAGTTAGCAAAGATTCCTACAAAGACCACAAATAGCAGCACGTTGCTAAAACCAGCTTTGGGAATTGGCCCTCCGCTGGATTTTCACAGGACACCATCACATTCTAAATTGCCACGTCCTCAAGGAGCGAAGCTGACATACCCTCACCAAGGACACTGCCCTCTTTCCATGGGGTTGCGATTCCTAACTGATGTCCTCATGCACAGTCCTCACAAGAGGCCAAGCAAGGAGTTGGTTAGAAATTATTTAAACTATGGGAAGAAGCTAAACAGCAAGTGCCAGAATAAAACCACCAAATGGGAAGAGGATAGGCCCAGGTGGCCTGCTTCAGGCAGAAACAGTAAGACCAGGTTTAGGGGTTCCCTCAGAAACCAGTCACTCCTCTGGAGCATCAGAGAGAGAGAGAGCTGGAGTAAAGGCTGGCGTCAGGGAGCTAGGTCCCTGGTTTCCAGGTACAACCCACCCCTGCCAGGGTTGGAATCCAGCCAAGTAATTTCCGCAGGGCAGAAGAAAACATAAATCATCCATGTGGGACAACAAGGTGTTGCTGAGCCGGCTGGAGCTCAGCAAGGCCTTCAAAGAGGAAGATGGCCCAGCACTGGTAAGAAAGGGTTCACCCTGCCTACATCCAAGGTTCTGGGAAGTTCAACTACTCTACCACCAACTACTAATAAGCAATGAGTGCTTATTTATGTACCTGGCATTTTTACTAGCATTATCTTTTTTTAAATCATCACAACTCTTAGATAGATGTTATTACTAAACCCACTTTAAAAATGGAGACATTAAAGAACAAAGTATTGAAGCTAAGGATGCTCATCCGGGGAACGGCCAGGATTTGAACCCAGGTCTGCTGCAATCAGGGCCCATGCTCTGAACCAAAGCTGTGCCCTAGAAAGCAATGAGGTCAAAGCGGAAGCCAGCTTTCTCTTGGCTGCACTGTATTTATTCAACTTGGTTCCTAGCTGTGAAACCCCAGGCAGGTCAGTTAACTTCCCTGTGCCTCAATGTCCTTCTCTCTAAAATAAAGACAACAGTGGGATTGTTTCTGAGTCTGAAGTAAGATGAACTTGGGTTTACCTGAGTGCCCAGCGCAGAGTCAGTGCTCAGTAAATGTTAGCTATGATTGCCATGATGATTGCTATCAGTGGTAATAAGTGTAAACACTGCTCTCCTCACAAAGCGGACGGCTCAGCTGATGCCAAACCAACAGGCAGGAAAGGACGGTGAGCCGCGTGAGGCAGACTGGAGAAGGCAGTGCTAAATGTCGGGGACAGAATAACTACATAAGCCTGGAGGTGAGGGGGCAGCTGCCACAACCCTGCTCCTCAGGCCCTCCAGGCCGCGGCTCCCACACACTGACACCAGCCCTGCGGTTTCTCTTTCTTCCAGGAACAGGAAGTGGACGCAGATGAAACAGAACGCTGCAAAAGTCCTCAACACCGGGTTTTCCCGTTAGTCACAGGTGAAGTCAGGCAGGGTTCCTGCAGGGCTGGCACGTGGCCTGCCTTCTGGGAATATGGGAACTGGAAAACAAGGATGAGTAAACGTGGAGCGCCAAGGCTCCGTCCCATGAAGTCCCCTGATGTGACGTCTCCACTAGTGCTGTTAGATAGCGAAAGCCAAGCAAAGAGAGACTGGGACAGAAAACAAAGATCACTTCAAAAAGTCAAGGAAAGGATTAAACGGAATTAGGAAAACCCTAGATATAGAGATGTTGATTTTTAAGGGGAAGGAATACACAGGAAAGTCACTGGCATATAACTGAATAAGAACTCTGAAAAACAGTAGCAAGAAAAATACTATTAACAATCAGCACACATTTATGCACACAACGTGCAATTACCATCCCAAGTACTTTACAGGTATGAACTCATTAACCCTTACAATAACCCTATGAGGTAGGTACTGTTATTTTCAACCCCATTTTACGGATAGGAAAGCCAAAGCACAGAGATGAGCAACTCGCTTCAGGTCACACAGCTAGCAAGTGGCAGAGGGGAGATTTTAATCCAGGCAGCCTGGCTGCAAAGCCCATAGTCTGTGCTCTATCACCTCTGAAGTGTGGCGTAACAGTTTTGACATTCACTAAAGTTCCATGAAGTGAGATCGCCCATAGTTCACCTCTAGTTGAGTTAGTCTTGAGTAGAAAATCTACAGGCGATCATTACTCATCTAATTCAGTAACACATCTAGACTGACAGAATATTTTGTCCTAGTGAATCAATTATTGGGAAGGGAAGGTACACTTTAGTAATATTCTCTCCGAGTCAATTTTTTTGCATCAAGTACAATTTTTTTTAAAAGCCTGCTACCATTTATAAGAAGCAAAATCAAATTCTAATTTACATTGAGCACTGTTGAGATTGTTCATTTCTTCTCAGAAATCCCAAACTTCCCTCTGACTTGTAAAACAATAGAAATAATTTGTATGAAGGAATCAGCTTTGCCATATCCCTTTGTCCAAAATGACCTCACTTTGTTAACAAAAAAATGTTAAGTGAATAAACAAATATAAAACATTAGTTTGAACTAACAAGATCTCAGCTTTGTTGGAGAAAAAGATGCCAGAATATTTATACTAGTTATCTCTGAGTGGTCAGATTACAAATTACAGTTCAACCTAATAGTAATATTAATGCTGTAGAGTTAAGCCAGAATACTAGAAACTGACGACTACCTCTAACTGCAATCCATAACATATATACATACAAGATATTTACACTGACTAGAGGCAGAGACCATGCTATGAAATCTTTGGTCTACACTATAGAAGACAAGGTTC